CAAATGTATTCAAAAATAAAATTGTGCTGTATTGAAGTATGATGACCAAGGCCTGAGAATTCTTTTTCTCCCATAAAGTTCCCACTTTTAATATGGGTATCTAAGATGTATATAGATACCCATATTAAAAGTGGGTATATATATTCAACTTTTTCATTCTTTGATCCATCCACTAAAGCCGGAATAATAGTCATTCCTGTTCTATCTGTTGTTTAAATATGATCTAAAGTCAAAATTACTTATTGTGAATGTGTTCCAGTTCCAGGTGTGCAGTATGTAACCTCATAACACCTTTTGGCACACTTAGCAACAGCTTAGCTTCAAGTCCGTTACAGTAGAGGACCATGATTAACTATTCCCAGATCTGTGTGTTGGGCTAATCAAACATGCATAGATGGTGAAATATTTTGCTTTTCCAGGAGGGGGCAGTGCTCCCAGGAAAAGGGAAAAAGAATGGGAGAAAAAAAAATCTCATGGCTCTGCATGTTAGATGGTCTTAGGGTGAATTTATGAATCTGTCCGTGTTCCAAATATGAAAAGCTTGCCAAGAAACACATTTAAATAAAATTAAATAGGGGAAGAAAGTTAATTTTTTAAAGATCAGAAAAGTATGTTGTAAATAGCAGGTTTCCGTTTGTTCAAATCACTGCATTATCTTTGTGGGCTAAAATTAAGATGATCTTAACTGCTTGCTTATGCAATAGAATAAAATGGGGGGAAAAAACCCCACAAGTTTACTTTTCTGTGCAAGACAGTTCTGCACCTTGTTTCTGAGGATTGAAAGTGCCACACAAACTCCTTTCATGTGAAACACTCCTGTCATGTGAAAAAGTATGAAGAAACTATTCCCCCCAACTCCAAATATTCAGTGTGTAAACATTTATAACAGTTGCCAATATATTGTTATCAAAGGATATTAATGCATGCTGTTCAGATGCAACTGCCACATCAAGGTGATTCTGTAGGAGCACAAGTTTAGCAAAACTGCTCCAGCTTTTAACTTTGCTTCATACAGGGTTGAAATTGGGGTGATTTTGCTCACCTGTATAGCTAGGCTCACACAGTCCTGATATATTCATCATTCTTGACATGCTTCCAAGTTGCAGCTCCCCCTTCCCTTTTAAAGCTGTTAAAATATATGTTTATCCAGATTCCTAGGTCCTGGTCCTTACTCCAAACACTTTTATGCATGTTATCCAATGACTTTTTCATTCAAAACTCAACATCAATTCTAGAGCCTTTATTCCCAGACAGATGCTCTCCCTCTAGCCCCATATCTCTCGCATCTCTTTCTGTCCAGTTTCCCAGCTACTACAGATGAGGTATAGAGTCACTCCATCCTTGTCTTTAGCTTGGTGAGTAGGGCATTTTCCTGGGAAGTAAGAGAAAAGGGCTTGAACCCTTGTAATGAAGAAAGGCACTGTACCCACTTGATTTCCTGGGCACATGCTTGAACCACTAAGCTACTAGTAAGTCCCTGCTTCTTTATTAAAGCCAGGCATCTCTCTAGGGTTTCCAGCCAGTTTGCCAGCAAAGAACAGACAAAGCAGACCCTGTTCTTGTTCAGACATTGAGAAGGGCAACCTAGGCTTCTGTCTTGGCAACACAACTTCCTCTGTTCTCTGCCCTTACACTCCGCTCTCTGTGGCTCCACCCTCCGAATCATTGGTTGCAGCTGACTCTGAGCCTTTTGGCCAAGCAGGCTATTAACTGTTGCCTACCTGGGAGTTTGTCCCCTGAAGGTTGGGCACCTCCTTACAGTCCCAGGGACATCTGTTGGAAGAAAAAAAGTGAGCCAGCCCTATATAGGCAACAACGTCTAGATGAGGGCTCAGGTGTGAATCCTGACCTTACATAGAAACCTAACTGAGAGCTCCAGGGAAGTGCCTAATTTTGGGAGAGAAATGGGACTTCAGAGAGATTCCTCTGTTTGACTTTTGTGGCTTTGGTGCTGTGCTGTAAATCCCATGCCTACACTTCCCTGTTTAAAATACATGGGAGTTATAGCCTGACTTGGGGTTGTCACTTCTGGTCTTGAAGCCAAGCATCTAATTTTTAGGCATGCCTGTGCTGAGCCCTCCCCACATTTAAGTAAGTTTTTTTTTTTTCCCCTCTTCATCTCTGTACCTCCTAAACCTCTTCAAAAATTGAACTTAAGCCCTGTCTACAAAGTAAATTTACCATGTTTGGTAGTGGTGTCCTCAAGAATGATAGTCTTGCTTTGTGGAGCTTGCCTCCTTAATCCAGAAGAGTAGCTGTGTCCAGTGCCAGTTAGATCACTCCCATACCTCTGTTGCCATGCAGATGGGGCTGTACTGCTTCCAGTTTAGGAGGCAGCCCACGTGGAGCAGTGTGCTATGCTTGAAGATCCTGCTGCTGATCTGATACATCTGGCTTTAGGCTCCTAGTTCTCTGTCATCAAACTTAAAAACAAAATATTAGCTTTGCATGTGCTGAATATTTAGGCACAAGGACATCAGGACTGTCAGCATTGCTTTTGTGTCCTTGATTTTGTTATTTAGTGTCATATTCTCGATGGCTTTTGATTTAATTGTTAGTGCATTATTTATGATGTCTTTTGGCTGCAACAGCTGTAATCTCCTAAATAATGCTTCCCTGTCTATTTCTTTCCGCAGAATTTGTTTGTTATGGAGTGACTCCCAGGCACCTACACAATAGGTGCTGTAATTGGGTGCAATACAGGTCTCCTAAATAAAGCAGTAATCACACTAGATGTGCAGTTTGAGTAGGTTTTTTTCTTTTAAAGGATGATGTGTAAAAGATAAATGCTGTCTTGGCAACCAAAAAAATTACAAAGCTTATTTTTTCAGAAGAGAAAGAAAATTATATGATATTTTCTATCCTTTCTGCATATAGTTTTCTTACAACTCAGAAGGTTGAAACTCAGCAACTTGGGCTTGTGATGGGAGAGAATTTACTGTCGGCAGCACTTATTCAGATTGAACTTTGAACAGGCCATGGGGGCTTGCAAAGAGTGAAATTCATGTAGGTTTTTATTAAAACCAGATGATGAAGGATCATTTGTTATAATCTTTAGTTTGGCTTAAATTTTTATAAGCGGTACCTAATAATTCTTGGTGTCTTGGGGTTTTGAGGACTGAACCCCAGATCACTAGTTGCTTTTGAAAATCTTTGCATATAAAATGAAAATCAACTGAAGCACAGATTTAGATACCATTTATTGCTGAAGGGATACCATGTAAAATTATGTCTGCCTTGATGCTGGAGGTCAGAGTATATTATCTAATGGTTCCTTCTGTCTCCCAAAAGTTAATGGATATGCCCAGTGTCCTACAAGAAAAGTCTTAGCTACAATCTTGTTTCCCTTCTGCTGACACTTAGAGTGGGTATGGAAAACAAATATGAACAAAGCACATTAGGACCATTATTAAATGTTATTTGGGACATTCATGTTTTGACCTGAGAGTTGATTTCTTCATTCTTGAAGTTTTCTCATGATAAAACACCATCAACCACTGTTACCTCTTAGCTTTGAAAATATAATGTATAATCAACCTGGATGGGTAACACTGAGGTTTCTTTTTGTGAAGTTGACCTCTTGTGTTTTCCCTCATTGGCTGCTCTCCTGCTTGACTGTTGCATATTTATGAAGCAGATGGTGGATAGCAAATGAGGCTGAATCTGTAATAGAGGCTTACCTGATTTTGTACCTTTCTTTGCTCCACATCTCATATTTTGTTTGTTAAGAGGAAGGTGTGCATGTAGAAATATTAAAACATGCTGAAAATTACCAGAGGCTCTTGTTTTACTCACAGCGAGGTAGGATGTCCAGTAAGTAATTAGATATTTTTATGGCAGCAGTCACTCAAAAAGGTCCAAATGGTGTATTATTGCTCTAGGAAATGTGCTTCCTTTCTTGCATTCTGGTGTTCTTTTAGGGGTGCAATGTGCTGAACACTGCTATTGCAAACTAGATGGCCAAGTATCACTGGTGTAAATTGATCTCTCTCTCTTGATGGTAATGGAAGCGTAATAAGGATCAGGTCATATAGGTCGCAGTAAACTTGCAGTCTACTTTATGCCAGATGAGTCTCTTGCTCCAGGGCTTTTAGGAAAAGCATAATAGAATGCTGTACCTTTCATTCCAGAAGGAGTAATTACTTTGCCTCCTCCTTCCCCCACCACAATTCTTGTTTTTGCAGCTAATTGGAGTTGTTGATTTGCAGATGAGCCCCTGCAGCAGAGAAGGGGTTAATCTTTAGCTTCACATATCAAGCCTTCTCTCAGCTTGACATTTTGCATGGCAGTTTTTTCCCGCATCACAAAGCATCTCCGTCTATGTAGAAATTCAGTGATCTGACTTGGGGTCGGACGGTGGTAGGAAATGGAAGGCTGATTGTGTACAGGTCAGACTGCTTTCAAACTCCATTTTTTAGGCATGAAAGTGCCACAGGCAATTTCTTCTCCTTTCATGCATCTGAGGATGATTTTCTTAATTAGACTTTAAAATAAAAAAAATCCCTATGCTTGGCCTAAAGCTTCCTATGAATTTGTACCTGATCTTCTGACCTATAGTTCCTTTTGTCACTAGTTCTTCTCATCATTTAGTGTTTTTTGTCATTTAGTGTAACAAGCAGAAGATTTCAGTGAGGTGAGGCACTGGAGGGCAAAGTAGGTGAGGAGTAAGTTTCAGTTATTGATTGCTTTTTTTTGCATTTTGACGGCCTCCATTCCTACCTAGGGACACACTGAATGTAATCTTTCACCCTCCCCAAGGGTGCCTACCCCAGTCCTACCTTTTTTACTCTGTGTGAGATAGGAAGTGATGGTGAGATTGCTAGCGACTTCAAGGCAATAGTTACATTTTCTAAAAAATTGTTACAATGCAAAGCTCAACTTTACATGTTAAAACACACACATACACATGCAGAAAAAAACTAATACTTAAATATACACACAGTAGTTGAATCTGATCCCAAGACACACTGATAACCCCCAGCCATTTGCACTCAAAACCAAGGGCTCCTAAGGTATGCACCTGAGATGACATCTAGATGTTTCATTTTAAGACCAACCAAAGTGACTCATCCAAACGTATGATTGAAAGTTCTCCCTTGTGTTGTTAGGGCCTGATCTACAGCTCACTGAAGTGAGCAAACCTGCTTCCACTGGTGCCAGTGGGCTTTGGATAAAGCACATTATTTGTCAAAAGTAAAAAGGAACAAGGTCAACATTTCTAAAAGTGACTAGTAATTATGGGTGGATGCCTCAATTTTTGGATACGCAACTTGAGACACTTTGTAGTAGCTTAATTTTCAGTGGAAAGCTGTTCAGAGATTTCATAAAGTCAGGCCTTCTTTAATGTATCCTGTGCTGAGCACCCAGAAAGTGAAGTATCCAAAAACATTAGTCACTTAAGAACACAAAGTTATTGCTAGGTTAGACCAGTGGTCCATCTAGTCCAGTGTTGTCTCTCTGACAGCACAAGAGTCACTACAGCAGAAGAAAAATTAGGTGCCAGTGAGCATTACGCTGTACTGTGAAGATCAGCAATTTGAGCTGTGGAAGACTGTCGGAAGGAATGACGGGATTTTGTAATAGAGGTCCAGAGAGATTTAAATATGAATGTCTCTTCCTAACTTTTTTACAAGGAATCGCCATAAAATCCTTTAAGGAAGGATGGTTTATTGTGATGGTACCATAGTGGACCTTCCTGCATGAGTTAATGAGTGTGGGTTGTACAGCTGTGTGATCTCAGGTAAGTCTCAATTCTCTGTCTTCAGTATAAGATTGCAGGATTGTTGAGAAAGCGAATTCATTAATGTTTATGTGCTGCTTGGACTCTATGGTGAGGAATCCATAAAAAAGCGTGCTTGGTAAATAAAAGATGTTGGCTTTACACTGAGTTGGATGGCAGCTTCTGAGCAAAAAGATGGCTCTGTTCTGCTTCTGCTGTGGAACACTAAGAGTGAAAACAGATGTTGGCAAATAAAGTGGATCAAGCTGTGATGTGTTGGGCGATGTGTTCCCCTTGCCCACAGAATTCCCATGTCCCTTCCTGCCCTATGCTTCCTTGTGGGGACTCAGGTCCATTCCAACCTGGGCCTCACGCAGAGGTGTGGGTCCTGGTGTGGGGCAGTATGGTGGCATGGGATGGCATAGGACTTAGCCAATTTCTGGCACCCCATACGTCCATGCTGGGACCCATGCTAACCCATGCTACATGTAGAGGCATGGGCAATGCAGGACCCAGCATGGAGGCACAGGGCACCAGGAATTCCCTGGGTCCTGCACCACCCTGCATCTCCTTGCTAGAACCGGCACTGAGTCATACCTCTGCATGAAGCACATGTCAGCATGGATCCTAGCATAGAGGCATAGGGGTGTGTGTGTCTGTGGGTAGAGGCATGGGGCACTGGAGATTCCCCAGGTCCTGTGCTTCTATGTTAGGACCTGCACAAGCTTTCCCTGCTTATGGAAATGCATTCCTGAAGATCCTGGGGTGAATGTTTGTAAGCCAGGATTCCCAGCTTTCCCTGCATATAGGAAGTGGCCCAAAATTCCCTGCGGAATATCTCTATAAGTAGTGAAAAGCCAGGCAGGCACTTTGGGGTCTTGAAGGGCCTGATCCTAAGTGTGCAAGATAGAGACCCTCAAACCCTTGACCCCTGAGGTGATTGGAGAGTGCAGGAAGCTTTGGGCTGCCCACACTCTTCTGCTACAGAGCAAATAGATGTATGCTGTGATAAAGCAGCACTATTTAACACTACCTTTTGTTGCACACTGATGTGATGTAACAAGGCTAGGGGGGCATCTATCTGTTCCCCATTTGTGCTTCCATAAAAATTAAATTCTTATGGTTCAAATGCAACATCTGTTTTTCTCCTTAGTGTCCTAGGAAGGAAGTTATAGGAACTGGAAAAGACCATCCAGCTCAACAGACCTAGACTGTTGAGACTGACCGTAATCTTATGCTTTCATTTCTTCATCATGTTCTCATATTGCTTCCTCCTCCAACTGGCTCTGCTTGTCACTAGTGTAGGGTGGCCATCTTAGAGGACAGTCTGGTTGTCCTTTATTTTTCTCTTGAAGAGAAAAATAGAGGACATACAGGCATTCAGTTTTGTATCAATAGAAGACAGAGGACCGAGTAGCAGAAAACCAGAATGTCCTCTATGATGGCCACCCTACGCTAGTGTGACCAATTTTTTGCTCTTAGATTTTTGCCTACGTGTATTCATTTATTTAATATGAATGTACCTTTGTGAATGTGTACTGTGTTTTAAAATATTCCTTTTGAGAAAGAAGTAGACTGAAAAGATGTTTTTTGAGGTCATGGGAGGGGTGGCTTGGTTTGTGCTGTGTTTGTGGGGAAGAGGGCTGTGCTGAAGCCCAAGCACCTGCCCT